CTCGCTCTCTCGCTCTCTCTCTCTCTCTCTCTCTCTCTCGCTCTCTCTCTCTCTCTGTCTCTGTCTCTGTCTCTCTCTGTCTGTCTCTCTCTCTCTCTCTCTCTCTGTCTGACTCTGTGTTTCTCTGTCTATCTCTATTTCTCTCTGTCTATCAATCTGCCTGTCTGCCTCTTTTTATCTATCTATCTATCTGCTTGTCTGTCTCTTTATCTATCTTTCTGTCTGTCTGTCTGTCCCTGTCTGTCTGTCTGACTGTCTGTCTGTTTCTCTCTCTCTCTCTCTCTCTCTCTCTCTCTCTCTCTCTCTCTCTCTCTCTCTCTCTCTCTCTCTCTCTCTCTCTCTCTCTCTCTCTCTCTCGCTCTCTCTCTCTCTGTCTCTCTCTTTCTCTTTCTCTCTCTCTTCTTTTCTATTTCGGTATGAGTGTCTGTTTTCGCTTTTTTATATGAGGGAGACTTCCTCAGACCCCTCTGAGTGATGTACACTGCACCTGTCAATGTGTCCATGTTTGAATCTACGTGTCCGGTTTTTGTTCGTTGCCTCTCGAAGCTCTTAAAATTTTACAGGACAAGGTTATTAAAGTTATGGTCGGTGGTCCAATGCTAAAGCCCTCGTCGTGAGGAAAGAACTGGGCCTTTTCTCACCATTTCCCCATTTCCTACGCGGCATGAGGCTCTTGCAGTTTCTACCAGGCTTTATCAGCTGAGGTCGATTGCCTGGCGCCGATTCTCCGATCTGATGTGCCCTAAACTAACGCTAAATTTCTCATATTCATCACCTTGACAAGGGACTCGTGTATACTGTATGCCCGAGTCGAAATATTGCAAGAGGCTAAGTCTATTAAATTGAAGTTACAGCTAAAAAAAATCAATATGTAATTTAAGATTCTGCTTGCAATCTGCTGTGACGTGTATCCTGATCCTGATGGAACGACAGGTATTGGTGACTTTCTTCCGGACACTTGTTTCAGAAAAGAGGTTTGTGAGTTGCAGACAGGACATGTATAATGGCGAGTCAGTAGCCATACGGAGAGATAGTGAATAGCGTCACCTAACTCACTTTGTTGATAGTCGAGATGCGTTTTATGGACTTCTGAATTTGTCCAGAAGACGAGGTTTCTAGAAATACCTTGCATCAAATTTCTAGACTTTAAGAACAGTATATTCAAGTGTTACTCAATTGGACACTTCCTTTAAGAATATTTGTAGTAAAATCGTAATCTTCTGTCAGTGTTGATTAGGTTGCCAAATCAGCCTTTCCCATGAAGAAGCATAATGTATGATACCATAAATGTTTATTAAGATGTAAGGACGTATTATCAGCTCTCTTGGAGACTATAAGAGTCAAATGTGGATCAGAAATGACAGAAGAATGAACGTGGCGTCATTTGGTACTGTATCCCTGGGACATCACATATACACAAACCCTATTGTCTATTATGGATTATATTAGAGGCAGCAGGTTACACCAACCAGACTATGCATGGGATATCAGTATCCTAATTCATGTGTAGAGTACAGTTTACAGGTTAAGAGGCTAAGTTAGTTTCACATCATTGCAAATTGATACAAAAGCTGTTGTTTATTTACCCAACCAGAATTACTGTAGATAGGGTAGGAAGTGTGGCACAGACTTCAGGTAAATGTAATGTGTGAATGCAGGTAGGTACATCCATAGAAATTCTGCTAGTTTTTTTTTCGTTTTTAAGCTGTACACTGTCCATTAAATAATCCTTATCTAATCAAATAAATATCCCTTATGACCCAGACAGAGTCATTATTGTATCCAATAGCATACTACATTGAAACAACAGAAGTGATAAGTCGTTTAGCAATAGTATTACTTTTATGAAGCAATGCTACTTTAGGATTTCCAGAATTGAGTGCGACAGACCTTCAAACAGCGTCCAGATTAGATATCTAACTGGATTCTGAGAGAATGTGCCGAAGAATTATGTACTTCGTTATTGTTAATCCAAAATTCAGTGGGAAAAGGAAAACTACCAAAAGATTGGAGACTCGCCAATGTTACATCTTTATACAAGAACGGCGACAAATAAATCCATCTAAATTATAGACTAGTTTCGTTAACTAGTGTAGTATGCAAGCTGTTTGGAAGGATAATTAGGAAACAGTGGGTTGAAGTACTTGCAAATCACGATATCATTTCAAATAAACAATTTGGTTTTAGGGAAGGAAGGTCATGCGTAGCAAATCTCCTCTGTTTCTGTGATAGAGTTTCTGAAATATTACAAGAAAGAGACGGCTGGGTGGATTGTGTATACTAATACTTTAAGAAGGCATTTGATAAGGTGTCTCATAAAAGACTATTATGGAAATTAGAACACCTAGGTGGAGTGAAAAGCAAACTCCTCGAGTGGATGGAAGACTTTCTTCATGAAATGCAGATGGGGGAAGCACTCTACATGGCGACGAGTAACTATCGGAATACCTCAATGATCGGTCTTGACGCCGATTATGTTTACTATCTTTATAAATGATTT